AATTACAAACTAATATATATATATATATATATATATATATATATTTAAAAATTAAACATCTACAATAATGATATTAAGATTTATTTTAAAAAAATATCTATATATCATTTTTTTTGTAAATATTAAATAATTTTTTTATAAATATTTTGTAAATATTTAAATTTCCGAGTTAAAAACAATAATTTTATTTATATTACACATATCTTTTACGATTTAATTATTATTTTATTTATTTGGTATACAATTTTGGATTTTATGAGGTGACAATTTAAAGAACTTAAAATTTAATCATATATACAAATTTTATGATAATTTAAGAAAATAAAAAAAATTTATTATAACACTACATTTTTGTTATTCAAATAATTAGTGATTACCGGCATACGCATGCGTGTATATAAGAATTAAAAACATTTTTATATGAAGATATATTAAAAAATATTAATAAAAAATTTTCAATTTATATTATTATGCATACTAATTTCTTTTTGTAATACAAAAAAAAATTACATTTAGAAAATAATCATAAAATATATTATATTATTTAGGATTGACAATTATCCTTAATAAAAATAAAAAAAAAATTAGTAAATGATGAATGATTTAAATTAAACTGTTTATAAATTTAAATAATAATAATTTCTACATAATATTATTATATTGTTTCAATTTTATTATTGATCATATTTTGAAATATATATTAATAAAACTCGAAACTATCTTCGATAATAAGGTATGTGACCATGTTTATGCAATATAAAATTTTTAAATGTATTGCCAATTAGATATTAGTAATAGATAGTAACACATGATGGCGCTTTTAATTCTCTGTCAGTATTCAATGTATACCGAAGTGATCTCAATATTTCATTTAAGTTACATGCATGTTTGCTTGTGACTTATGAAGAGACATCATGTTGTACCTGCCTAAATAACATTTTTCGATAATGCTGCTGCAATATTACAGATGTAATATAATAAGTTATATGTAGTGATGTGATATGTCTATGCGTTCATGATAAAGTACTCGCCCTTTGTAAATGTATTTCGGTAAGTTACATTTATGCTTGCTTCAAGTTACAGTCTTTTCATATTGCTGATTCGAAGAATTTCTTTAAAAAATTCGTCATCAATTGTCATGCAAGCTACAAAACCAATTAGTATATTTATAGTGACAATTATAGGGTATTATTACATGAATATTATTCTTATATAAATAACAAATTGTAATTATAAATTCAATTAAATCTTGAATATATTATGAATTTATTTATACACTATTATTTTTCTAATTGTCTTAATTTTATTTTATGGAATTTGATAGGTTAGGGAGAATGTCCTTGAATTTTTTTATTTCGACAATATTTAAATTATATTACTCATAGAAATATTATATTTCTTTTAAAACAATCAGTTTTAAACTAAATTCATAGAATTTTTTATTCATTCTATTATAATTTCTATAAAAATTTTATAAAAAAAAGATTTTATTTAAATAATGTATATAGATTGTATATTTTTAAGCATTTTTAAAAAATAAGATTTTTTTTATAGTTTAAAACGATATAAAAGCTAAAATTTCTAAACTTTAGAAGCCAGGTGCCTAGAAAGCAGCTGGCAAGATGGGCAAATTGTTGTCAAAGATTTTTGGCAACAAGGAGATGCGAATTTTGATGCTAGGATTGGATGCTGCTGGGAAGACTAGTATCCTTGAAATATATTAAAAAATTTTTTTATATGAAATTTTGTAAAAAAAATCTTTAAAATTATGTTATGTTTTTTTAAAGTAATTTTCCTTAACATTTTCTTATTACATATCAGCAATACTATATAAACTTAAACTAGGACAGTCTGTAACAACTATACCAACTGTAGGATTCAATGTAGAAACAGTTACCTATAAAAATGTTAAGTTCAATGTTTGGGTAAGTAATAATAACATTAATTTATATTTATAATATTTATAATAAAATATTTATAATAATTATAAAATATCATTGCAGGATGTTGGAGGCCAGGACAAAATACGTCCACTTTGGCGTCATTATTATACTGGAACTCAAGGACTTATTTTTGTAGTAGATTGTGCTGACAGAGATCGAATAGATGAAGCACGTCAAGAACTTCATCGAATTATAAATGATAGAGAAATGCGAGATGCTATTATATTAATCTTTGCAAATAAACAAGATCTTCCAGATGGTATAAATCTAAATATTTTATAATGATTTCATAATCATTATACAAATTATACAAATATGTACATAAATAAATAAACTTAAACTAATATTATCTTTTTTAGCAATGAAACCACATGAAATACAAGAAAAATTGGGTTTAACTAGGATACGAGATAGAAATTGGTATGTTCAGCCATCATGTGCCACAACTGGAGATGGGCTTTATGAAGGCCTTACATGGTTGACCAGTAATCATAAATTATGAGCAAATATTTATTTTTCATCAGTTAGCCACATACCAAGAATGTACGTTTGCTTTGTATTTTCATTTTTATTCATCATATAGAGGCTTTATAACACAACTAATAACAATCATTATGATCTATAAGAGAGAAAGAGAGGGAGAAAAAATAATTTCAAGTGTACTGCAGCAAACGTAGAGCAACCATTGATATCAGATGATGCGTTTCAGCATATTAATATTATATAGATAAAAAATTATTAAAGTACCAAAAGATATAGATTTTGTTACTAACTGTTTTCTAAAATTCGTAAAAATGAATACATGAATATTTTTTTAGATTATTATGTTAAACATTTTACTATAATTTATAGATTTACAATTATATATTACATTATGAATGCTAATTTCAAAAGTATATAAAAAGTTATAAAAGTTATAAAAACTATTTATATAAAATTAAGAGATTCATTTAAAAAAATATATAATTTCATAATTTGAAATTATCAATTTTGAAATAATTAATTTAAAATATCATCTAGAAAAATTAAACATAAAAATTCATTCTTTACTGATTAATACTATATATATGTATTACATATAATATTAATATATAGTCTCACAAATATATGTGATTTAAAGCACTTAACTTCATACAATACGAAAATATTCATTAATAAGTTTTTGCCAATTTTTATCAATTTTATTCTTCATTTAAAAACATTCATGGTGTCATTTTGTTTTCGTATTTTTAATAATTGTCTTCCAGTTTTTGAGTGAAATTTTTTATAAATATTATTCAATCTTTCGTTTTTTTTTTTTTTTTTTTTTTTTTTTTTTTTTTTNTTTTTTTTTTTTCTTTTTCTTCTTCTTCTTC